TGACAGCGTGTTTCTTCCGAACCGATCCATTTATGCTGTATCCATAATATAGCTGCATTGTGGCTCTATCACATATAAGGGTTATATTATGGCTTCTAACTTTATCGCTAGAATTTTTTTTTTAAATTATACAATTATTATAAACGATAGAAATATAATTTAGCATCCAGAAATTTATCTCAGTAAACGAAACGCCTATTATCATTAGGCTTTCCATTATTATTTTTAAATATGTAAACATGTATACGTATAGCGTATCAGAATATTAGTTTTACATATTAAATTTAAATATTAAAGTAACTGATCACACCGGCTGATTGACCCACTCATCAATAGAAACTTTAAATTTGGCATCAAAGTAAATCATTACGCGTATACAAAGGACAACCTTTTAAGCTTTGCAGGTCATGTATTTGTTTAAATTAATAAACAAATAAGTTTTTTTTTTAAAGTTAATGAATCCCACTACAACACAAATGTGTCCGGGCCCACCCAGAACAGTTTGTAGGAATAAAATTTATTACGTTCTTTGATATAAAATTTATAAATTGGCAAGTTTTAACAGTCTTGGCCCTTTTTTCACATTTTCGCTTTTTGGTGGAATACCTAATTATTAAAAATCAAAAAGCTGAACTGGTTTTATATATTTTAAATTAAAATTTCCCTCAAAATTCATTTCAACAAAAAACTTTATATTGAATAGATGCTCTGAGAAGTCAAAGAACTGACTAAAATTAGTCAGCGAAATAGATAAGAAAAACGAAAAACGTAACAAGAACCATCAAAAATTTCATTTAATAATTTGCTTACTTTTAGAGAGAAACCCGAGTCGTCTGACTCGAGAGCTCGAGACGATAAAAACAAAAATATAATGTCTGACGTCTGAGGTGTGCTCATTAATTCCGTAGTTACCTTTTTGTACCGGATTTCACAAACGGCAGCCCTATTAACAGTTACAATCGGAGGCTTCAATTATATCGCATTAATTACGACCTCTTGGTTTTTATTAATATTATTATGATAATTGAGATATCTTTAATTAAATCTCGTTTAATTTTGGAGTTATTAACACGAGCAAAGTAATTGATATATTAACTCACACAGTCGGTTTATTATCTTTATTATTGTATAATTTAATAGTAAACGGAAAATGACGAAAGAATTTTAACAACAGCAAAGTTAATAAATTGATATGTTGTTCAAATTATTCATGAAATAATAGAAAAAAAATATAGGTATGCATATGTTGTTTAACTTTGTCTACATAATACTAAAGAGAGAGAAAATTTACAATAAAGAATCACGAGTGATCGTGATTGGATTTAACAAAATTGCCTCCATGGGTCAGAGATGCGGAGGATGTTTCTGTATATCATTGATTTACAACCAGTGTTCTGTCCGCGAAAGCTTTAAATATTTTACCTACCTAATCGTTTTAAATAACACATTAATTATTTTCTCGCGAGCGCGGGTCGACGTCTTGAACAAACTAACTGAATATTTTCACAAATATAACATTATGCCGGGAAAACTCGAAGGTTTCTGTACGACAATGACGCCTCACCGATGTTAGGATAACGCTCTGGTCTAGCAACGTTAATAAAACAGATTTTTTTCTGTATTAACAATGCATTGTATTATACATCACCAGGCGTTAGCTTCCAACTCATCCTTAATGCCTTAATAAGAAAAAGCAATAAAATATTTTGCCACTTATGTGAAGAGCATAAATCTGAATCTTAACAGAACTATTTTTGGATCATATAGCTTATTCTTATATAGCTCATTGTATATCATAGGGATCTTTATATGATGTATATATGATATTATCCGTTCTTTTAGTACACATCAAAATAAAACCTTAAAAATAAATAAATTATTTGCACGTAGTTTACTGGTCCTATACAGTAACCTTTGCCCGAAATAACGTTCCATACTTTATTATAAACAACGGGTGGCAACCCTGGTTACTGGTTACAACCCACGCCAATTACATTACCATACAAATTTGTTTGTAACCCTACGCAAAATAATCAACTACATAATTGATTTAATTTTATCAAATAATAATGGGTGAATTATTCGATACTCTAAAATCTAAATAACTTCAAAGGTCCTTATAAATTATACTACCTAAAACTAATGAGTATTTCACGAACACGGTGAATAACAGTAATAATAATAACTGATGATTATACTTTTAAATAAACAGCAAGCAAGTTTGAATTATTAATCTTATTTGCTATGGATTATTTAATTAACAATTTAAATGCACATACCAATTTTAAATAAAAAGTTTATTTTAATTTGTTTATGCTAATAGCATGATTATGAGTATGTAAAGTAATATATTACGTGATTAGCGGATACCCGGCGTGTGCAACTACGCTAAAAAGGAATACATTTTGTTTATTTGTTGTAAAAAAAAAGGAAGTTTTGTTTATTTATTAACTATAATATGTATAATATATTATTTATAAACTATTTTCTCATTAAACCACAATCTTTAAAAAAAAAAAAGGTTTCAAAGTCTATAACAGACATAGGTAGAAACTTTTTGTGGTTTATGTAGATATTTATGATTAATATTAAATTACTAGATGACTTTTTCTTAGTGGACACAAAAAATTCTTTAACCGTATAATCATATTGTCCTTATATATTAGGTATTAACTTTAAATAAAAAATAATAAAACTGTAGGTAAATTTAATACAATACATTGCTGTATCAATCACCCATTATACGGACAAAAGAAAATTCTCAGTGACATAAATAATAATAAAAACTCACGTACGTATTTTTTCTTACATTTCCCACATTTATTATATTCAAAAGCAAAATAATTTTAGAAAATTGTTTTGAAGATAACGACGTAAAAAAGAATTCGTATGACTTTCCTGTTTTATTTTGAAGCAACACCTAGGGTTTATGTTCCTTTTCATTTGCTTTTATTTGTATTTAGTATCTCGATTTTCAAAATATTATATAGTAAATGTTCAATAAAAGCAGAACAGGAAAGGAGTTAGTCTTCTTTTAAGCGATTTGAATAAAATATTTTAAATATAAATAAATTATTTGCTGCTTGGTTAACAAATAGTTACAGAGAAATGGAAAACGTGTCAAACATTTAGGTTTATTTAATATTAACAAACATGCACACACAAAATTTTGTGTAAAGACTACACATGGTACAGATCATTAGTGCCCCCCACCCCCATCCCCTTTCTACGACATGAGGCTACGTGCTTTAAACTCGTGCAATCCCGCCTTAAATTTTTAAATGATGCCAGTAAAAATCTTAAAACAGCTCATTACTGATGGCTTAAAATGTGGATTAAATATTCTAACTTAAAATATCACGAAAAATAGATAATTTTCAATTGCCACGGGTTTTTTTTTAATATAAACCATAGAAGACACATTACCGGGTCTATATTTTTAAGATAGTCTACAAAGTTAGTCTAGAGAGTCGCAAATTGTGACACGGGCATATGCGTAAGTATGCAAAGTTTGAACACACATTTGCATTTTCACTTTGTCATCCAGTGCCGGATTTCTGCGCACATCAAAGTAAACATAGTTCAAAGTTTGGGCGGTCCGCCAGCCTGCCTTCATGCAAAATTTACAAAGTTTATTAACGCGTGATCCGCTGATTAGAACTGTTGCAAGAGTTGTCAACAATCTAGGCAGAGATGTCGATATGCATTATAAGTACATGTAATCCGAAAATCAGGGATCATCATCCTCATAACGACGACTAAATACTATTTAATAAAACCTGCGATTGAAAAAACAACCGCCAAACCTGACAAATATGGCAAATACACGAGACAATGGGTGCGTTTGGCAGAAAAAGCGCTAGCAAGCGCTTATAAGCGCTAAAATAGTTTTCGGCCAGGACACGATTGCTGCTTCAGTAGCGCTGACAAAATCCGCCATTTTGCTTATTTAATTTGTTTGTTTTGAAGTAGAGTTTATAAGTTGTTTTGTGCAATATTAGTTTTAAGTAATATAATGACATGAATAAACATATACATGCTATTAAAAACTCATGATTGGTAAGTTTTTAATATGAATACTTTACAAACATATATTTAAATTAGGTTAGATTCCCCGGTTAAAACTAACATCGTGTCCTGGAGGAAAATAGCTACTTACGATTTGACAGCGCTTACCGCTTACGATCGCCATTTTGCTTACAAGCGCTTGCTAGCGCTTTTTTCTGCCAAACGCACCCAATATATAGGGCAGGCTTATGTTTAGCAGCCGCCTTTTAATGGGCTGTAATGAATAAATTAATGACTGAATATTAACGACGTATGTCTTAAGTGTAAGAAAATGACTTCTCTGTAACTTAATGATTTCTTAAATTACGCGAACACTACACATTGAATAAAATTATTATTTACAGATTTTTATCGTGTTTAATTACTACTTTAACTTATTTTTACTATTAATTTTGACCCCCCCCCCCCCCCCCCGTGACCATGGGTGCCGTAAAGCAGGGATGTTACGGATATGATATTTCGGATATGGATACGGATACGGATATGGGAATAATATTATATCGGTTTCGGTTTCGGTTACGGATATAAAATTATTTCGGATTATCCGTTAGTTTCGGATCGGATAAGATTTTTGAGGTATTTAAGTAAAATACAAATAAGTAGGTAATCATTTGGCTTTATATCTTGGTTATCATTTGGTATTACAATCAGTCATTTATTCAAGTAATTAACAATTTTATAAGAATAGTATACTAATTAATGTAGCTACCTACATATTTTTAAGTTATCTACTTAAAAATGCTATTACAAAATTATTATAATCAAAAACAATGCTATTAGTTTTTTTTTCTATTATATTCTTCAATATATTTCTAGGAACTATTACAACGCATAAATCAGTCTTCTTAAGTCTTTGCATATTGAAGAATAAAAACTAAAATCTGAACATAACATAACAAAATATTTACTTGTCTTTCACTTAATGATTTCTTTTAATAGTCGAAACTAAGCAAAGGTAAATTATACTTAACAAAAAGCAATTTCGCAGCCTTATCACCAGAAAGTCGATTTCTTAAGGGGTCATAAATTAACCCAGCTGCACTGAAAAGCTGCTCACTTGGTACACTTCCAGGAGGTGGAGAAAGGTACTGTCTTACTAAATCACTTAAGCAATGGTACTTGGTATGCATTTTCCACCATAAAAGTGGATCTTCATTGAGTGTCAATCGTTTCTCCCTGTTGTATTCATTTAGTAATGTCTTTTTAACAATAAATTGATTGTGCACATCATCACCACAATCTATGTTTTGCTCTTCCTCGTCACTTAAGCTTAATATTTCAGCTAGACAAGATTGAATGTGTGAATAGTTGCTTGAGCTTGTTGTCGGAATCTCATTCCGTGATCTCTTAGGTGAAGAAGGACCTTCATCACGAGAAGCTTTTGAACACCCAAGAATCCCCAGAATCTCAGACTGTACCTGTTCCTTCGTAATTTCAGTAAAAAACTTGAGTTTAAACCGTGGATCTAGATAAGTAGCTATTGTATATATTTTATTATTTTCAATATCCTGAAATCTGACATTGATGTCTTGGATCATTTTCGTAATCATTAATTTGAAGTTCTCAGAAGTCTCTTCTTTACTCTTCTCTGTTTCTAGTGTGTTTTTAAGAGTATATATTAATGGAATCACTGATGCTATTGTTGCAGTAGCACTACTTAACTCCTTTGTAATTTCTTCGAACGGCTTTAGTATTGCAACACACTTTTTTCAAGTCGAGCCATTCATCAGCATTAAGAATTGGTATATCATGCGCGCCCGAATACAGTACTAAGGAGTCTTTTAATGTCAATATTCTTTTCATCATATAATACGTCGCGTTCCATCTGTGAAAAAAGAAAAAACAATGTCAAATCAAATAAAAAAAAATTACATAATAGATAGGTGTATAAAATAGAATAAAAAAATCTCACCGTGTGGAACATTCCTGAATTATACTTAGTCCTGATTGGTTCAGTCTTTCTGTTTGAATTTGTTTCAATTCATTTTGCGCGATTAGGGAGTGATTGAAGTGAGTTGCAATTTTCTTGCACTTCGTAATTACTGACGAGAGAAATTCTTCGATTTCCATCGTTGATCGCACACATAATTGTAGTTGATGAATAGTACAGTTTGCATCAGTGAAATTGGCCATATTCATAGCTTTTATCATATTAGATCCTCTGTCGCGTAAAATACAATGAACTGATTCCGTGCTTAAGCCCCAATCTTTCAAAATATTGTTTAAATTATTTGCTATAATTTCACCTGTGTGCCGACCCTCTAATTGTTCACACTTGAGTATTATAGAAACTCTTTCATATTTATTGGTGATGCCATGAGCAGTAAGACTAAGTAACGATACATTTGAGCTGGGCTCTGACCACACATCTGTAGTAAATGACAACTTTTCAAATTGCTTAAGTAATCCCAGCACCTTTAATTTAATTTTATTGTATATATCAGTACACAGCAAATTAGTAAAATACTGCCGACCTCTTAGATGATAGCGTGGTAATGCTGCCTGCATTAATCTTTGGAAGCCGACACCTTCCACAAAGTTAAATGACAAGTTTTGTAATGCAATCATTTCAGCTACTAATTTATCAATTTCTTTTTGCTTGACATTACTTTCATCCCAGGCGCCTTTATTTTTTAAAGAATCTGTTATTGACAGCTGTTTTTTACACTCTTGTAATGGTGTCAGCTGTTTCGTGGTATGTGGTATTTGTTGGATATCTTTTTCTAGTAACAAAAGTTCTTCGTACTTATCACCGTGTTTTGATTTAAGATGAAGTTTAAGCGAAGTAGTGCCACCTCCTTTTCGTGAAAAGGTTTTATCACACTGTTTACATTTTGCGGAATCTGCATTAACTTGATTAAAAAATCTCCAAATTAAACTAGACTTAGGTCGCATTTGGTCCAGATTAGGTAAACAATTTAATAACACAACACTTTTCTTTCACTTCGTCGAACTAAACTAATTACTCGTACCTAAATATAAAACTGACTGACGGGACTTATGTATGACTGCAACATAAATAATAAACAAACAATGCAAGAGTAAGAGACACGCGCCGCTAATGTAAAAAAGAAACCTGTTATAACAAGTCTCATTTAGACTCAGCCCCTACCCTTATCCGAAATTATCCGAAACTTTTATATCGGATTCGGTTACGGTTACGAATAGTTTTTTATTTCGGATATCCGATAGTTTCGGATACGGTTACGGAGCTCCATAACATCCCTGCCGTAAAGCACCCGAAACGTCGGGATAATAAAAAGAAGTTAAAGTAGTAATTAAACGCGATAAAAATCCGTAAATAATAGTTTCATTCTTTGTAACTTATTAAACTAGGTATTGCTCTATTACTATAGAGGAACTAAAAGTACCTAATAAAAGTTTACAAAAACATAAGACAATTTGAAAAATTTATGTACCTATATAGAATACAAAAAATGTTTCTACCTACGTCCGTTATAGACTTAGAAACCATTCATGGTGGTTTATGTTCACATTTGGACCCGGTAGGTGGCGCTGTTGTCGAGATCGAGAATCACCCGCGCAAAGCCGTCCCGAATCGCTAATACAATATATTATAAAACTCTTTTTCTTGGCGATTCTAGAGTATTTCATCCATGTCTTCAAATGAGGCAAATAATTAAATGCACCCTAATAAAACAAAAGTAAGACATCCACAAAATCGTCGTCCATTCAGCCATCTTTGCGATAAATAAGTACGTAATATATTTGTGCATACGAAATGTATACAAATAGTATTTTGAAAATTTGTGCCCAAGCTTTGCTCACGTGTCTGACTCCGGCATTATAAGCTGAGATGGGTTGGAAGCCGGAATGCAGTGTTGAGAGACTAAGGGCTCTTGTACACGCTAAGAAAAGTCGCCGGGTCTATGCAAGAATTCGTGTCGCTTCTACACACGATCTGTGTGCAAAGCTCCGGCGCGGACATAGAAAAAAATCTCGTCTGCGCTAGACAAGACGAGCTCTGTGTTGTTGCGGTGAAGGGAGGGGCGGAGGAGGGGAGTTGCTTCAGATAATTTGAAGTTTTTTGTACGTGTTTACATACTTTTTTAATTTTTTTATATATATAATATGCAATAATCCTTTTTTGCTTCCTAGTTAACATGATTCTATTCATTACAAACTTGACTAGTGCACTATACCCTACGCACGACTGCCCGAAAACAATCTTATTTTTTGACACGTCTACATTTATCTTGTCTGAAGCAGACAAGACAAATTTTCGTGCCTAGATCCGACAAAATTCTTATCGTATACATGATGAATTGGTCCGCCCTAGACACGGTGAAATTTCTTAGCGTGTAGAGCCCTAAGGGACACTGGGGACCCGAAACCTACAATTTGCGTTTTTCAACAAAACGTTGGCCTGGCCTGGGATTCGAGCCGTGATCCTGTGACTACAATCTAGGCCATATTGTACAGGTGTATGCACCTGATTTTGACTTAAAAGTTAGTTTTATAAAATAGAATTGAAACAAAGCGAGCAGTGTGTTTTAAAATTTTCTTTGTTACTTGCAACATAAAGAAATTGAAACACGTACACCACACAATATAACATGCAAATACTAGGTATTTTAATAAATTATACACACTAATATAATATGCAAATAAAGTAACAAGCCGGAAATAAATATAGCTAAATGCATTGCACACTACAATACATTTTACGATGATATCTCAAAACAATCAGACCTGAATAAAATATCTCACCGTTCCCAACTTAATCTCACGATGACTGGTGACGGCAATCCCAAAAAGACACAATCCATTCAACACTTATGGAGCACTTTATTGTTAACACTAACACTGCAGTAGAGTTCTGGCACGATCAATGCACCATCACTTCACTCACATTCCGATGAAGATCCTCGCACCAGACACACCTACGAAGAAATAAAAGGTATTATCAGCATACACTGTGCACTGCAACACAAGTAATATATAACCAACCACACACCACACAAGCAGTTAATATAACGCGTAATCGACGTACAGTGAATGAGTTTATAAGCGAACGCGCGTTACTTATGCACGCCGCACGAATACTGAGTCGAGTCGAGTCGAGCGAAGAGCGAAGCCGAAGCTACCCGGCGACCAGAAACGGAATTCAAACCGCGATGCTCCCCGCGCGCCAACGATCATTTCACGCTTCACTAAGTGGAAGAGTAAAGTGTAAAATTACACGCAAATAATGCCATGCCTTTGCACTTACACCAATGAGATCTTTTTAACAACAAAACGAAATGCCACCATTCCTTTTATATTCCACATAACGTATTAAATTATTATTTTGGTTGCCTTTACAAATCTGTCAACTGTCGAGATATTCTAGATGTTTAAAGTCGCATACCATAAACTTGTCCATATAGAATATAGAATAATGAACTGCAAGTCAGCCGAACATTTGTTCTATCTAGCGCAGCGCGCACATCTTTCATCTGGTACTGGTACAGGGTACAGCTGTTTATCTAAAGATAGAAAGAGAAAGATAATATCTATTATGTTGTACATCGAGCGAGTGCGCAAAAATACTAGGAGACAAGACTCAATAGATAACACTTGGGGCAAAATAAAATAAAAACATGTATTTGAAATTAACGTAGTTAAATTATCTTAGGTAGGTACTACAATGAAAGTCCCATGTATTGCATTGATATATAAGTATAAAATAAGAATGAGCTTCGTATGACCCCATGCTACATGCATAGCCTACATGTGAGACAGGTAGCGATAAAATAATTTTTCTTCGTTTCACATTTCTATGCGTGCTCGAGGCACAGAAAACATGTGAGATAATAAAAAATTTATGCTTAAAGCGTTAAGCTTGTAAAGTTTATTTACGTACATAATACGTTCTTCAAACAAACGGATAATAACTACGCGTTTTATGGCCTGCAGTTACTGCGCTTTAGGGGAATGAATAAATTATTGAAATGTATTCGTTCATTTAGGACCTGGTAAGAGTCTTGACGGATATTTAAGAATTTCTCAATCTGCATCAGGGTTTGTCTTTAGTAATTCAATCCAATTTAATTGCGGTTAATCCGTTTAAAAGATGACGGTTTAACAATGAAGTAAAGTGATTACGAACGCAACCAATGGTAAATAATGTACCTCTTAATTTTTATCTAAGCCTTATGTTATAATCGATGTTTGTTTAGGATTTTTAAAGAACAAAAATGGAAAATTGTTTTAAAATTAAAATTTATATTAAATTAAATTGTTATTATTATTAAATTTATTATTATTTATTATATTATAGTATTTATTATTAAATTAAATTGTTTTAAAATAAACGACTGAGAACCTATTAGTCAAAAGCAAAATACTGCTTAACCACTTTCCTATAACCCTTGTACAAATCATAACAAAATAAAAGTTACAAGCTTTTAAAAATGCACAAGGCTCTCTTTTACTTCTCTACAAAAGATATACTATTTTCAAACTATTTGCTTTTTCTTTGAATAAAATGCCTGAGGAGATTTTAACTATGTATTAGATATTTGAGGAGCAAGAAATATTTTCCGATATATTTCAAGTCGCAATACGCTTCGCATTGTAGAGGCGCAGATATTCCCGTATTCTTTTGTTAGACTTACTGCGCGACCGGCTCTTTGTTATTTGAGTTATAGGAAGGTTGAATAGGAAAACAAAATTGTTATTCGAGATATTATGAACGGAATGCGTTGAATAACTTGAGAGCTGTATTTTGATGATTTTAATAAAAACTGTTTCTCAATCAAAAAGAACTGTTTCTTACGTGGTAGAGTCACGGTGCAAGCTGCAACTATTATAGTTGTAGTACGAATGGGTCGGCTCGACCGGGGCTGGACCACGCTCTCACAGTATGCTAACGTAAAATAGGAAGTGAATGCTGTTCCGTATGGTTAGTGTAGAGAATCGGAGATCCTTTTTGCTGGAAACGAGGCATTTCATCTTAGTCCTCAGGGGTGACAAATGACAACATATCTGCACTTTTATTCTTAATCGAGGATAAATGTGGATGTCTATGGGCCATAGCATCCACTCATCATCACGTGGACTGTGTGCTCGTTTTTCATCATATTCTATGAAGATAAAAAAAACCGAAAGAATTAGTAAAGTAAAATATTTATCTACCTGACCTTCTA